AGATGTGGCATGCTTTCTGATAGACCACAGTCAGGAAAAGATTATTACCATCCAAAAGGCATTTACTTTTCAGGGAAAGAGAGGAAACGATAAATAAATACATGAGGAAAAAATAGGGATGGGAAAGAGAGAAGATCAAGAGAAAAGCCGCTTTTCTTCCTCCTTTTTCTTTCGGTCAGTGTCTGTCTCACACCTGTGGTGACTCTGACTGCTGCCGCAGGTGACCTCAGGGGAAAAATCAGTCGACTGCACAAACCCTGAAGGGGTGGTAACTGAGGACAACAGGTGAAGAATGACTACCTGGAATAGTCACCTCCCCACACTACGGGCCAAATCCCCAAGGTTGACAGCTGGCACTTAGAAAAGGGGCTCCTCCTCATTTACTCGCTAGAAGAGCGTATCACAATGGACAAGAATCAAATTGATAACTATTGTCAGCATGAACATTGGAAGTCACATATATGTAATATACAAATACATATTTATTGTTGTCCTATAAAGGGGAATACATCCCAATCCTTTTTTAGGATTAGCATAATTTTGTTATCAAACCAGGAAAAGACATTATCAGAGTAGAAAGCTATAGGCTTATTTTACACATAAATATAGATTAAAGAATCCTTTAAAAATTAGCATATCAAATTCAACAACGCATAAAGAAGATAATAACCTTGCCCAGTTGGGTTTATCTCAGGCATGCATATGTTTTTTGTTTGCTGGTTTGTTTTAGCTTTGTATAATTTTACTTTCTGTTTGGAAAGCTTTACAAATTTAAAGTAATAAATGTATTCATTTTCTTATTCTTTCCAGAAGTTCAATTTTTAAAAGAACATTGGGAGGCCGAGGCGGGTGGATCACGAGGTCAAGAGATCGAGACCATCCTGGTCAACATGGTGAAACCCCGTCTCTACTAAACATGCAAAAAATTAGCTGGGCATGGTGGCGTGTGCCTGTAATCCCAGCTACTCAGGAGGCTGAGGCAAGAGAATTGCCTGAACCCAGGAGGCGGAGGTTGCGGTGAGCCGAGATCGCGCCATTGCACTCCAGCCTGGGTAACAAGAGCGAAACTCCGTCTCAAAAAAAAAAAAAAAAAAGAACATTACTGCTTTAAAATTTCAAAACATACAACATAGTCTGTGCTTCTAACATTTTCAGATTTGTCTGTGATAGCTTGATGTTATAAAGAGAAGGAAGAGTAGCTGTGAGTGGAGAAAAGATGGAGAGAATATTCTTATAGTAAATGTTAGCAAAATTAAGAGAAATAATGGGTACTGCCACTCGCTGTATAAAAACTTCCTGCCGTTTTAGCACAACCTGGTGGCGATAAATTTTAGGTACAGAAAACATCAGAAAAATCAATAAAGTTTTCTAATTACTTGAAATCTACTTATAGTATGCTACTATAATTTTTTTCAATTCAGAAATCTAAATATACACATTCAGAGCACTTAGAAAAAAATAACATGCCTTGCACAAAGAAAATATTTTTCCAAAAAATGAGTTAGCTAAAGCACTATAATAATTACATAATTATAGTAAGCTGAATTTGTACACAATATTATTTAAGTAAACATCAGAAAGTAAAATAAACACTACCCTTTCTCCTCTCATCAAATTACTTTTATAAAACCTAATATTAGTACTCCAAAGAACAAAAGTATAAAAACTACTGTATGACTACTCATGGCAATATCCACCCTGCTTTATTTCATTTCTTCAGGATCTTTCCTTCTAACACTCAGCTTCCACAACAACTACTTCATTGGAAGAAAAGTCTGAAAAAATAATAGCCAGGCGTGATGGTTTACAACTATCATCCCATCTACTTGGGAGGCTGAGATGCCTCCCAAGCCCTAGAGTTCAAGGCTGCAGTGAGCCATGATCTCGCCACTGCATTCCAGCTTTGACAGAGCAAGACTATGTCTCCAAAGAAAAAATAGTAGGGCTTTATGGCCAAGCATGGTGTCTCACACCTATAATCCCAGCACTTTGGGATTCTGAGAAAGGAGGACTGCTTGATGCCAGGAGTTTGAGACCACCCTGGGCAACATAGCAAGACTCCATCTCTAAAAAAAAAAAAATACAAAAATTAGCCAGGCATGGTGGTGTATGCCTACTGCATTCCCAGCTACTTGTAAAGATCACTTAAGCCCAGGGGTTCAAGGCTGCAGTGAGCCAAGATCACGCCATGTCCTCCAGCCTGAGCAACATAATCACACACACACACACACACACACACACACACACACACACACACACACAATAATAAGGCTTTATATGAGTGGTCACTGGTTATTGATGTTCTTATTCGTTATAACAGAACATCTGTATATACAGTTACAGCTAAATGGCATTTGGTATATGACATGCCAGTCTTCTGCATGTACTGAAGTTTAAGAAAGACTTGGATCCAGTATGTATTCTGGATGTCAGGAGGAAAAAAAAGGCTTGGAAACCAGATTATCCTATTATTTAAAATATCAAAAATTACATTATTTTAGGAACAGAGAACCAAATATAATTTGATATTCCAATGAAATAGTTTTGCTCTAACTCTTTTCACTACACTTTTCCTCCCTATATTAAGTTGTAAGTCCTTGAGAAACATACTTAACACTGAACTTCCCAATATATTTGAGAGGGTACGATGTGAATGCTAAGTGTAAAATAGTACAGGTAGTTAATGTTAACAGAGCTCAGAGGAAATTTCCCTCCAGGGTAACTACAGAGATGTTTTTTTACGCTGCATTTGTCCTGAGATGTTCAAGTAACTCATTCCTCTATCTCACTCATTACATAATACTCATTACAAACATATTGTGCTCATATGTGCTCTCTGAGCTCATCTGAACAGAACAGAACTGAGTCAATGATTTGAGTTACGATTTTCTCCATTGTCCTAAGGATTGTATGTAATTAGTACCATTCTAGACAACACAGGAACTTCTGAATTTTCTCCTGACAACCTAATTGAGAAAGCCTGTGATAGACACTAACCTACCTCCTTCTCTTCACCCCTGCTCCTAAACTGCTCTAGCCTCAAACCCATCCTATCTATTTCACCAGTGACTGGTATTGTCCTGTCTGCACCCAGATTGAGAAGCAGTGCAGGGAAAAGTTATTCTAAAACATCCAACTTTATATGTTTAAGCTTCATCTTTCCTCATAAGCTACAATTTTTCTCTTCCATTCGTACCTTTGTCAAGCTCAGCATATAACAAGTCATCTTTTTGTGACATCAATGTCTTCAAAGTCTTTCTGGAGATCTAGAATCTATAATTTCTAAATCTTTTGTATAACATATGAAGTACATATAAATTGAGTTATTCTATACCTGTGAACTGATGATGAAAGATGAATTATTCTGCTCAAACAGATGGTATGGATTTTGAAAACCTTTGTTTGACTCTCCTAAAAGGATAAACAAATGCTAAAGAAAGATAGCTTTCAACTACAGTGAGGTTTCTGTGACATGTGCTAACTGGAAAAGGTACATTTTACTAAGCCATAACAAATAATTTTAAAAGAATCTCATTCCACACGCTATGGATCTTTGTCATTACACTACAATGTAATTTGAAACTAGATTATTTTTCTTGCTGACACTGAGAAGCAACAATTTGTTTAGCTTATGTAGTGATGACCTATTTCCTCTTAAAGGTGACAATGATTCTAAAACAAGAACATCTGAAAACAGTTGAAAAAACTATCCCAATACCTCAGTACATTGGAACAGTAGTCATATCACACTATGCTATAGACCATGGGTTGGCAAATTTTTTTCTGTGAACTGACAAACAGTAAATATCAGGCTATGTGGGCTGTAATTTCTATGGGAGCTACTCTGCCACTGTAACAGAAAAGCAGCCATAGACAACAAGTAAAGGAATGATCTTGGTTGTGTTCCAGTAAACTTTATTTATAAACACAAAATATTCATGTTAATTTTTGTGTATCATAAAAGTCTTTAAAAAATATTTAAAATTATAAACACAATTTCTAGATCCCAGGCCATAAAAAGCACATAGGCTCTTACACCTATGTAAAGTGTTTCAAATTCCAGAGACTGTGGAGATGTCTCATTTTTTAGATTTCTCATTTTAAAATATGTACAATGCAAGTTTTCTTTCTGGATCAATATACTCATGTGAGAGAAAATAATTCAAAAAATATATAATTCCTTATAAGAAGGGAAAAGCTGTAAAACAAATGTTTCATCTTATATAATTAGGACATGTAAAATTAAAGATTAAAGCATTTATTCTATGCAACATGAAGTAATATGCATAGATCTGGTACGTAATTTCTTAGTTTTGACTTTGGAAAAAGGACAGTGAGAAAAAGGCTTATAAATTTCTCAGTCCCTTTTATAAAAAGTTGCAACTGAAACCAGCAATCACTTGTGTGTAAAACCATCAATTCTAAATATAATATGAATTATACCCAGGAACTGGAATTTACCTAGATCAGTTCTGGCTGCTTTTTGAAAAATGCACAATTATATCACAGAACACTGAGGCTTCTAATCTATAACTTGTAGCAATTTTGAAAAGGAAACTCCTGCCTCCATAATATAAGGAAACAAGAATGCTCTTTCCATAGTCATCATCCTTTGTTAAAAAAACAAAACAAAACAAAACAAAAACAAAAAAAACAAAATTCATAGTCTGATTTACCTTTATCAAAGGTAAATGATTCACATTTGCATGGATTACTCTGATCCTCAGTAGTTCCTCAACACAAAATAATTTTGCATAAATCTTTATCTAGGTTTTCCAAAGCAAATATTACACTGGCAGAATCCATGAGCTGAAGAAAAAGAAGTTGAATATAAAAGGTTTACCAACTTTATCCTTTCTAAGTTTATTATAGCTTCAGGTATGGAGACCTATCTGGTTTCCTGTGCATATTCATTGTGAACACATTTCAATCTTCTACTTTTAACACTGCTCAGTGTCATCTTTTGGTGATCGCTTTGTTTTGCAATGTATAAAATCCTTTCATCGTACTTCAATCATCCGTTCTTCCCAAGACTTCATTTCATTATAATAACGAATTTTATCATCTTTAGCAAGCTGAATATATACTTTCTTTAGAGAACCAGACAGATTTTTTTCCAGTTTTCATTTACAGTCTTCAGCTTTGCCTGTGGTGAAACATCCTTAGCTTCTTGGAAGGTTTCAGCTACATAAACGTTATAAACTGAACAAGGTCATTTTGGTTTTCCAAGCAGTATTAACGCTCTTTTTTATTATAGCTTTCCTTTTTAAATGTTTGTACCTGATTCCTTTTTCCAAAGATACAATCTGACTTGGAGTTAGTTGTTCTTGACTTCTGCTTGTCTCTTCTTTGCGTGCCTCCCAGTTTGCCCTGTAAGCATCTTCGTATATTTTCTTTGAATCGGGAAGTTCCCTCCAACGCTCTGCGATTCTTCTAATTAGTTGTGTATTTTTTGCATCTGGGTTCTGAGCTTTAAATATGGGTAGTTGTTCTTCAGAAAATCGAAGATAAGAATTTACAGGTTACTTTGGATAACTTGCCAAGGCAGATGAAAACCATTTCGGTAAATACACAAAACCGAAGGGGATCGCAGTCGACTTCCACAGCCGGCGCACAGCTCCGCTCCAGACCTTCCCAGGGCACTCAGCACCCCCCGACATGCTTTAGAGAAACGCCATCGCACCAGCCGACGACGTAGTGACCGGGCCCCAATCTCGGAGAGCCTCCTGGCACGACAGAACAACCCCAGCAATGACAACTCGAACCCGTGTGCGACCCTCCGGAGTTTGTTTTCATGCCCGCCACGCGCAGGGTCGTTAGTTTAATATTAGAAAAACCATAACTATAATTGACCATAATATCAGATTAAGAAAAGAGAAGATTTGTAGTGATCTCAAGGTTTATGTTGATAAAATCCAACATAAATTCATAATACAAACTTTTAGCAAATCAGAAATATAGGCAATTTCCTTAACTTCATAAAAATGTCTATAAGGCAGGCTGAGTCACATGTCCGCCAAAGATGGATGCGCTCAGGCGGGTACAGCTGTGGTGACCTCCGGCGTGGATGAGAAACACCTGAGGAAGCACCCACAGGCTAGTGGGAGGAGAGCATAAGGAGTCTTGCTCTGTCGCTCAGGCTGGAGTACAGAGAAGTGATCTCAGCTCACTGCAACAGCTGCGTTCTAGGTTCAAGTGATTATCCTGCCTCAGCCTCCTGCGTTGCTGGGATTACAGGCTCAAAATGGAAAATTATGAATCCATTAATAACCAGGAAGACATTTTTGAAATCTTAAACAGAAAAATTAACCAGCTTCCAGAAGCAGAAAGGAATCTACTTGAAAATGGATCGGTTTATGTTGGATTAAATGCTGCTCTCTGTGGCCTCATAGGAAACAGTCTTTTTCGACGTGTCTTGAATGTGACAAAGGCTCGTATAGTTTCTGCCTTACCAATGGCAGTGATCCCTTTCTTTACAACACAAGTAACTTACAGAGGTTTTGTAACTATTCCTTTGACAACAGGTGATTTGAATTGCGAAACCTGTACCGCAACACGTAGTGGACTGGTTGGTCTTCTTGTTGGTGGTCTATACCCTGTTTTCTTAGCTTTACCTATAAATGGTAGCCTAGCAGCCAGGTATGAAACAGCTCTGTTGCCAAACAAAGAGAACATCTTAAGTTACTGGCTTAGAGTTTCTAAGCCTGTCTTTAGAAAGATGTTTTTTCCTATTCTACTGCAGACTGTGTTTTCAGCATACCTTGGGTCTAAACAATATAAACTATTTATAAAGGCCCTTCACTTACCTGAACCTGGCCAAGAAATTCACTGACTTTATAAACAAATATGTACACAAAAATAAAACAGTGAAAACAGTTTATGTATAATGTTATTCATCAACATATAATTTTGGAACCTACAACAAAGGCTACACAAGGCAACAAAAGTGTAAATCTAAATAAAAGCTACCCACTTAAACAAGAAAAAAAAAAAAAAAAGGTCTATAAGGCTGAGCGTGGTGGCTCACGCCTGTAATCCCAGCACTTTGGAAAGGCTGAGGCAGGTGGATTACGAGGTCAGGAGTTTGAAACCAGCCTAGCCAAAATGGTGAAACCCCATCTCTACTAAAAATACAAAAATTAGCTGGGCATGGTGGTGCAGGCCTGTAGTCCCAGTTACCCAGGAAGCTGAGGCAGGAGAATTGCTTGAACCCAGGAAGTTGCAGTGAGCCAAGATTGTGCCACTGCACTCCAGCCTGGGCAACAGATCTGTGTCAAAACAAACAAACAAACAAACAAACCCCAAAAAGTCTATAAAAAGCCTTTAAGCAAACATCATTCTATATGGGAAAACACCAGAAATATTTTCTTAAAAACAAGAATGAAACAAGATGTTCACTCTTACCACTCTTTAATAGCAATACAAAAATTAGAATCATAAAGATAAACCATTTTTATTTATAGATGGCATTATTATGTTCCACAGAACAAACAAAAGAATTTATAGGCCAGGCATGGTGGCTCACTCCTGTAATCCTAATACTTCGGGAATATCACTTGAGACTTGGAGGTGCATCCAGGTGGATCAAGGAAGATCACTTGAGGCCTGGAGTTTGAGGCAAGCCTGGGCAGCATAGCAAAACCTCATCACTACAAAAAAATTTAAAAATTAACCAAATGCGATGGCTCATGCCTGTAGTCCCAAGTACTGGGGAGGCTGAGGCAGAAGGATCTCTTGAGCCTGGGAGTTGAGGCTACAATGAGCTTTGATAGTGCCACTGCACTCCAGCCCAAGCAACAGAGCAAGAACGCATCCTATCCCACCCCCACCCCCACAAAAAGATGAATTTACAGATGGTATATTAGAAATAGGAAAGGTTAGCAAATTAGCAAGACAGTTGCATTTCCAAACACCAGCAACGAACAGCTAGAGATTGAAATTAGAAAGAAGACATCATTTGTAATACTTCAGAGCATATCAAGAGCCTAGAAAAAATTTCTAGCAAAACATGCATAAAACATATACAGGGAATTTTTTAAAATTTATTTATTAGAGACAGGGTTTTACTCTGTCACCCAGGCTGGAGTGGAGTGACACTATCACAGCTCACTGCAGCCTTGAATAAAGCAACCAAAATGGATGAAATATAGCAACATGAAACAATATGGATAAATTTGGACAATATAATAATGAATATGGATGAATATGATGACTGAATTTTCAACAATATGGATGAATCATATCAATATGAAGTTTTAAAAGTCTTAGCATATTTACATACAGCATACTATCCTTTTCATAAAATGGAAAAGTATAGTGTTTAGAAATTCATATAGTTGAGTGAAGTAACTGCATAGAAAGAAAACAACAGACTGATGAATGCTGGTCTTTGGATTGTGGTACCCCAGGAAGGCAAGAAAAGAGAAGAGGAAAGAGAACATAAGCAAAGGTAAGATATTGCCAAAGTCTTAGTGTTTATAATGCAAGATGGATTCATGGATGCTTACTGTGTAATGATACTACAAGGATGAGAAGAGAGAGAGCGGAAGAAATGGACATTCATGAGTCAATAACAAGAGTGAGTCGGCCAGGTGCGGTGGCTCACACCTGTAATTCCAGCACTTTGGGAGGCTTAGGTGAGCAGATCACTTGAGCCCAGGAGTTTGAGACCAGCCTGGACAACATGGTGAAACCTCCGTCTCTACTAAAAATACAAAAATTAGTTGGGTGTGGTGGCACACACCCATAATCCTAGCTACTCAGGAGGCCGAGGCACGAGAATTGCTTGAACCCAGGAGGCAGAGGTTGCAGTGAGCCAAGATCACACCACTGCACTCCAGCTTGGGCCACAGAGTGAGACTTGATCTTAAAAAAAAAAAAAAAAAAGAAAAGAAAAAGAAAAAGAGTGAGTTGTGACCAAGGATTATAATTAAGTGAACTTTGTTTTTCAGTGAAAAACAAGAAAAGCAGGTGGTTCGGATTTTGCAAAGTTTCTGGAATAAGTAAACCCACTCAGCCACAGTGTGATTAAAATTTGAGTTTAAAGTGATACCTGAGAGTAGGTAGAAGGAAGATTTAAAAATTTTTGTTATAAGGGATAAGAAACTTGATAAAGGAATTCTCTAGGTTCAGGACAGATGGCAGAGGACAGAAAAAGCCTCAGACACACAGCAGAGAATGAAGGAAGAAAAGAATCCCCACTGGACCAGAAATACATCAATTCTCTGCATTAGAGCTAAAAGCTTTGTCAGCTCCTTCCTAAGCAACCCTCTGTACATCTTTGCAGTTAGTTGTTGTTATAGACTGAACACTTACTCTCCCCTCTCTCAGTTCATAAGTCGAAGCTGCAACCCCTGATGTGAAGGTATTTCTAGATGGGCCCTCTGAGAGGTAATTAGGGTTAGGTGGGGTCATGAGGGTGTGGCTCTAATGATGGGATTGGTACCATTATAAGAAGCAACACCAGAGAGCTTGCTTTCTTTCACTCTCTAACAGGTGAGGACACATGTTAGGGGGTCATCTGCAAGCCCAGAAAAGAGCCCTCAACAGGAACTGAATCAGTTGGCACCTTGATCTTGGCCTTCCCAGCCTCCAGAACTGTGAAAAAATAAATTTCTATTATTTAAACCACCCAGTTCACAGTTTTCTGTAATGGCAGCCTGAGCAGACTGAGGTGATTGTATAGCATTATACTTACATGTTTACTCATTCATTCAATGGTGTCAGGTTAGTTGTTTCAAATGAATCCTGTTGCCGTGAGTCCAAAGCGAAGAGCCCTTCCGGATAGTTTTATATTTACGTGGATTGAGTGGATCCTATCTAAGCATTGTAGACCAGTGAGATCAAAACCAGGGAAGACGCACCCCTTACAAAACAGTGCTTTAGTGAGGACTATTTCTGCCTGAAAGTGCTACACATTAAATCATTGAAGGAGGATAAAATGGCTAGATAGCCCAACTTCTCTGCTCAATTCAAGTTCGTTACTGGCCTTTGAAGGCAGAAAAACCTGTTGGGCCGAAATCTCCGTGGCTCACTGCCTCCACCTTCTGGAGATTTGGAGACATGGTCGTGCTGCCGTTACATACAGTTTGCTTTATAATTTCCTTTCACCGTTCTTATTGTTGGAAATTAATATCAGGATAAAAACAACCAAAATCTTATCAAGATATTGCGGCTTGAAGGATTTAAAAAACACTATGTTCTTTTTAATGTCACTTTTATACTTGGAAAACAGATAACTGGTACCTAGAGTCTCTTGCTTAGCTTGTTCAGTATAAATAGATGTTTTGAACCTGGGCAGCAAAGCAAGACCTCCCCTCTACAAAGGGTTTACAAGTAAGCTGGGTGTGGTGGTGAGCACTGGTGGTCCTAGCTACAGCCCAGGGGGTCAAGGGTTCAGTGAGCTATGATTGTACCACTACACTCCAGCCTAGGCAATAGAGTGAGACCCTGTCACTAAAAATAGAACAGGTACTTTGTGATCTGTAGTCTATACCATTTTCAGCTAAGGACAAAGTAAAAAGGTGTCTTCTTTCACATACTTACACAGGTCTCTGTTTTACTTTCTACATCTTTATGAGTACAAGGCTGTCTTTCAGGCTCCTACAATAACGCACCATCAATTCATCACAGAAACTCTTAGGAGACTGGTATTAAAAAATAATTTCCTTTATCTGATAAAGGCTACTCACAAAAGAATGTACAGCAAACACCTTTTTCTTGGAGATGGAATCTCGCTCTGTCGCCCAGGCTGATCTCAGTAGCACGATCTCAGGTTTGCTGAGCTGGAAAAGGAGTCTGGTTGCTGTTCTGGGAAGAAGCTGGAAGATGGCCCCAAATTATTGGACTCAGCTGATGCTGCCATCATTGATGTGGTTCCTAGCAAGCTCACGTGTGCTGAGAGCTTCTCTGACTATTCTCCTCCGAGCTGTTTTGCTGTTGATGATGTGAGACATACAACTGCTGTGGGTGTCATCAAAGCAGTGCACAAGAAGCCTGCCAGAGCTGCCAAAGTCACAAAGTCTGCCTGGAAAGCTAAACAGGCTAAATGAATATAGTATCCCTCACACCTGCGCCCAGTGGTGGAAGAATGGTCTCAGAACTATTTGTCTCAATAGGCCATTGAAGCTTGATAATAAAAGACTGGTTGATGATAAAAATGCACCGTAAAACCTTTAGAAGGAAAGGAGAATATTCTGTAGACCGCACATCACACAATGTATGTATGTGTGTTGTCTGTATGTCAGTTTTAAGTTATTAGTTTTTAAAATCAGTCTTTTTAAATAAAAACAATGTAGGTTGGGCATGGTGGCTAACACCTGTAATCCCAGCATTTGGGGAAGCCGAGGCAGCCGGATCATTTGAGCCCAGGAATTTGAAACCATCCTGGGCAACATAGCTAGACCTCATCTTTACATAAAACACACACAAACATTAGTCAGGTGTGGTAGCACACACTTGTAGTCCCAGCTACTCGGGAGGCTGAGGCAGGAGAATCACTTGAGCCCAGGGAAGTCAAGGCTGCAGTGAGCCATGATTGTGCCACTGCACTCCTTCTTGGGTGACAGAGCCAGACCCTGTCTCAAAATAATAAATACATAAATAAGTGGAAACAACTTGGCAAAAAATCTGCCACAGAATTTTGAGAAGCATTAAAATAAAGTTTAATGAGAATCCTGTGTCGTGGTCAACGCTGAAACTTCTATAGACGTGTTTCTAGTGTTTAAAATCCGCTGAAACTTAATGAGAATTTGAACTTTTGGGGTTGATATTTTTTCCCCATGGGCATGGATTGAGGAGGTTTGTTTTGTTTTGTTTTGTTTTGTGATGGAGTCTTGTCACCCAGGGTGGAGTGCAAAGGCATGATAGCTCACTGCAACCTTTGCTTCCCAGGTTCAAGTGATTCTCCTGCCTCAGCCTCCTGAATAGCTGGGATTACAGGGTACGCCTGGATAATTTTTTTGTATTTTTAGTAGA